ACACTGATATATATATATATATATAAAGTTACTGTTCGCTTCAGAAATAACTTTTCTCTAGTATAAACGAATTGGTATGTTTTTTCCGTTTTCATACCTTCGAAGCTTTCCTAAAATTAAAACGTATGTCTGAAAAAGTATAATTGTTTGTAGTTAAGCACAAAGGTACGCAACAGGCTATCTATGCTGTGCCCACCACGGATATCAAAACCCGATTTTTATAGTTATAAGTCCTTGGATTTACCTCTGTGCCACTGGGGAGCAACAATTATAAAAGACGAGAATTGAAACAACGTAACTAACAGGAAATTAAAAAAAAAGAGAAAACACCTTGTTATTTAAACGTTTAAATGAATGAAAATTTTGAGCTGTAATATTACATCAAAGTGGTGGTTTTGCTGTGTAACAAAGAGATGCGTAAGCGCCACCAAGATAATAATATCTCCTCATTTAATACACTACACAATGAGATTAGCTGGTTGAAGCGTAATCTGCACTCTAGATTCAAATCTCTTTACTTGGCAGGATAATGAAATTTATCCGTTAGATGTATTTATATAAGTTCACGTGATAAATCTCACTGATTTATAAAACTTCAGTATTTAACAGCCGCGGTTCATGATATATATGAGGAAAGGAGTAAACACATTTTAGGCTAGTGGTATGTGGAGCTCGCGGATTTAAACATTAAAGTTTGTTTGTAATTAAGCACAAAGCTACACGATGGGCTATCTATACTCTGCCCACCACGGGTATCGAAACCCGGGTTCTAGTGTTGTAAGTCCGTAGACATCCCGCTGTGCCACTGGGGGGCAGACATTAAGGAGGCATAAAACTGCCTATTATTCTATACATTCTTATCAGTTCGAATAAGGAGAAGTATTTTTCGTGATGTGAATAATTTATGTTTCGTATTACTATCAACAACCAGTTCTATGAACAATAAGAGCAAAGGGACTTTTACATTCTATGCACAGTGACAGGTATGATTTTGAATGTACGTAGATAAGCATTCAAAACTGACTTCATATCCTTTTTAGCGTAACCATTCAGATCTCATTACCTTCTGATGATTCTGCACAGATATTGATTGGCTGATATAGCTCGTATTTTAGTACTATATTTTCTGTTTATAATGAGGTAGCATCAAATTCTGTCATGCATATACTGAATAGAAACCTTTCTCGTGTATATTAAGTGTCTCAGGTTCCTTTCCTAAAAACTCTGAAGATTTTTCTGTGAATTGTAGAATCCTTTCCCATCTTTAAAAGGACAGTCACGATCTTGAGGTTAGCGCCGTCGCTCCGTGAGCGTGAGAGTCAACGGTTCGCATACCGTTACCTCAAAAACACACTCCACATTTCGGGGTCATTAGTGAGCTCTTACAGTTACTATCAAAAAACAATTAATCCGTCAGACGAAAGAGTCCAATAGTTGGCGGTGTGTGTGCTGTTGACTAGTTGCCTTCCGCTTAGTGCATCAGTTCAATGTTAGAGACGACTATTCGCAGATAGCTCTTGTGTAGTTTTGCGCGCAAATTCTAAACAAACACAGCTTTAAATTCAGAGATTTTCTCTCCCTACCCGTGTGTTTAAATTCCTGATATTTTAATCTTTTATACAAACTCTGTTTTACAGAAATATGTAATACTTATACATCCTCATCAGTAGCTACCACTTGTTTTAGAAATGTGCATCGGTTGTCGAATTCACCTTCTAAGTGTATTATAGCTTCCTTTAAGTAATTATATTACTAGATATAGGCCTAAATTGATATGATAAGTGCGCATGAACTTTCATTTAGACTGTCGTTGCTCGTAGAACACTTATTCCGTCATTTTATGCGTGTCGTAAAAAAACTTATGTAGGCTCAAAATTACCAGTAAACTTCTTTCAACAACCATGTTTAGAGATGTGTTACAATTGTGAAATATACCATCACAGGAGAAGACGTAAAACGATTCCAAATCAGGATACTTATATGCAACCAGTAAAATAAGGTTAGAACAACTGAAATTGCTTGCTTTAAAAGTTAAATCGGTATACAACAACAAAACGTATAAAAAAACGATGTTTTACATTGTGGCTTGTTGCGCCGCAACGAAATATTTTTCACAGTTTGATGAAAATTCAAAGTATATATATATATATATATATGTGTGTATACATACTACTAAATAAATAAAAGATGGCTCCCCTTAAGTGCTGATTTTGGTCCTACTGTGTATATCAATCACCGGAACACACATGGTAGCCTGACTTGTACCAATCTTGTACAGAAACACCTTTGTTTACATAACCATCGGTGTTATTAACGTAGAAACTTTGGAAGACACACATTCATGAAATCACAATGTTTTTCCTGTAACCCGTAGAAAGCATAGCTAAACCAAACGTAAAGTACAAATGTGAAGGTTTACATAGAGATGTGAAATGTTCTAATCTATAATGTTACCAGAACCTTAGTCGTCGGTGTCATCAGAACTACTGTGTCCACCAAGCTGCGCCAGTGATGTGGTCTTGAAAGCGTCCAGAAGCCCTGTAAGTGTCGGTGGACCTCTGTTGCATTTTCTGTGTTTGAGCATATCTGCTGGTCAGTTTTGAAAAACAAAGAGTATGGATATTAGTTGTCTCAGTATATATATCACAGTATATGAATATTATAGGTCAAAGTTGCTGAGTGTTGAAGCATTCGTGACATGTTTCTTTGTCCTTACGCTATAAACACATGTACGTATTATATTCGTTTTCATATATTATGCTTCTGGCACCTTTACATATACTGTGCAAATGTAGTGATACGTCCATATGATTGATGTTAAAGTCAAGTCCGTTTCTAAGAAAATGGCTGGGTTTGGGCGAAAATCGATAGGATACCCATAATATGCACCCAATATTGACAAACACGTTACTAAAATCTTCCCATTGACTTGCTAGGAAGTAGGGTTGTACCGAAACTATCGAAGTATCACTTTATATGATGTTTCTTCTCAGGACTTTATTGTTAATTGGATTTTAGGACCAAAAACGGCACATACAGGGACCCCTCTTTTACCTCGTAATTTAAACTTAGTATTTTGAGAAGATATGCAGGTAGGAAGACAAAGAGCTTAGCATTTCCTTTCAATGAAAAACAACAACAAAATTAAAAAACATGCTTGTGTGTAAGTTTAAGATGTTTGTCATTTATGTACAACTGTATGGTTTCCACTGTAGAAAACTTAACGCTGTTGGTATTACATGTCTGATTTCATCGGTTACTTTCATTATGTAAAACTATTTAAAAGTTATAAGTACTTCTTTACGTGTGCTCAAGTTTTAGGTTGATTAGAAAACTTTTCAGCAAATAAAAGAAGTTCGTATATGAAAAAGATTTAGTTTTGAGAGAATTCGAAATTAATTTACTGAAAGTTCTTCTAATCATCTAATGCATCTGTTTGCAATATGTAACCAGTGTAATTTAATCGTTTTAATTGGGGTTTAAAATTTGTTAAGAACTTTTTTTGTGTGTGCTCGTACTATATATTGTATATATATACACACACAGCTAAAATTTCTGTGTTTTACGGCGAACATAATGTAAACCAAAAAATAGAAAAATCTTCATTATATTTATCATTAGACATTATGTTAGGCCTATTATATTTTTGCACTACATTCATAATCTAGTCCCTTATAATGTTCCAGCCCAAAGTATTGAGTCATCCTCAGATAAGTTACATTAAAAAATTTTGAATGTAACCCTTATCTAAAGATGACTCAGTACTTTGGATCGAAACATTATAATTATCAAAATTATAACTTACCTACTGTAAATGTTGCTGTTATTGTATTTTTGAATTAATTTTTAAACATTAAAAGCTGCTCCTTTCTTTTATAATTACATTTTAATTAATTCGCTATATTGTTGCCATTAATGTCAGTGAATTTAGTAGGGATTGAGTTATGTGACGTAACAATGCTTTTTCGTAGTCAGAATCTCTATAGGGTTAACATTTCATATTAGTGGAACCAGTAAGTAATATCAATTCAGCAGTAATGGTAATGTTTATTATTGTCATAAACACATAATTAAAAGGTGAGCAATCTTGAATGGAATTAATTTTCTAATTTGAAGAAGTTTGTTTGTTCACGCGTTAACAACAAGTACAACGACCAGTAAAGTGCTTAGGTTGGAGATTAGCACTTGATTCTTTCTTAAGTTTTAATAAAACTAAGAATGGACAGGAAAAACAACAACAAATATATTTAATAAATATATTCGATCAGTACAATACAAAAAAAATAATACATTAAGATATTTTGCGCTTTTAAGTTTCTACAATACATTTTATTTAAAACGTAGTTATTTGATGGAACGAGCCGTAATGTTATTTTCTGTATTTCAGTAAAAAAATGTATATAGATATGTATCTTTGGTCATTTGTATCATTAGTGAAAATTATGAGAAAGGTGGAAAAACGATATTGTAAATTTTGTGCACAAAATTCTCATCGTGCCGTCACTATATACGAACATTGTTTCTTATCAGTATATCTAGTTAAATGTTTTTCTTTCTGTTGGTTAGATCTCTTTCATTTAAATGACTTTGTACCTAGTAAAATGTTTCACCAGAAATAGTAAATAAACGAAGATTTTAGTATGCTGGATTTGTATGTCCAAATTATGCTTCTCAGTGCTGCCACCTCATGAGGTAGGTTGTAGCTACAAGTATCAATTTAACTTGTATAAATGTTATGAATATTATGTTTAAACAACTCTATTTATTCAATTGTTTTTCAGTAAATAAAAAAGGTTTGATTATGAAACAAATTGTTTTGAGAGAACCAAAAATGAACTTACATAAAAATATTCTAATGAATGTTTTTGTATTATTTAAATAGTACAATTTAATAACTTTATTTGTATTTAAGATTTATACATTAAGTTTTTTTGTTGGTACTTTTTTAAACTAAATTATAAATATAGTTATTTCTTTTTTTCAATATGTGAAATATGAAGGCATTGGCAAAACTAGCAAACAGTTATCTTCAGCGGAAAGTACCAACCGTGGCAGAAATAAAAAGTGGAAATGATGACCTACAAAAGTAAGTAATATAGTTTACAGGTATTAGGCTTAAATCTGGTATAATGAAATAGTCTTATCCACTGCAGACACTTGATATTCAAATAAAACATACTTCGTTGTGCAATTACTAAACTGCTCTCACTAGCTTGTCATGAGAACCCATATTATAATCTATGTAATGTAATGGGCATACTGAAATAGCATACTTAAAGATAAACTGTGTATGCTAAGTCATATAGAACTTCTTCTAATGACTACACAACATATTGCATATTTCATTAGTTAATAAACTGTCTACAGTTGTCTTGAATCATATAGAAGTCTACATAATAGTGTATATTTCAGTAGTTAATGAACAGTCTACAGTTGTCTTGAATCATATAGAAGTCTACATAATAGTGTATATTTCAGTAGTTAATAAACAGTCTACAGTTGTCTTGAATCATATAGAAGTCTACGTAATAAAGTGGATATTTAGTTAGTTAATAAACTGTCTACAGTTGTCTTGAATCATATAGAAGTCTACGTAATAAAGTGGATATTTAGTTAGTTAATATACTGTCTGCAGTTTTTTGAATCACATAGAAGCCTAAATAATACAATGTATATTTCAGTAATTAATAAACTGTCCACATTTTCTACATTGTCTACACAGTATATGTCATATTTTATTAGTTAATAACCTCTCTGTGCTTGCATGACTTACAGAACTGTCTACACAATATGGAAAACTCTATTGGATGAAACAGATAAAATAGCTCAAGCCAAACTGGCAGCAGTAGATGTATATCAAGAGGTTTCTGAGAAAGCAAAAGTATTACGAAGCAATAAATTGGTGGTCTCTAAAAAAGTGAGTGAAATGTGACATAAAGTCTATGTATTAAAGTAGTAGAAGTAAGTAAATCATATGAATCTTTTTTATATTTTCAATAAATCATTATTTTCTTTTCATGAACAAATATTTCATATACTTAAAAAATATAGCTATTTTGGCCTAATATTTCAGCATATGTTTTTTTTCTAAGACCATTATCATCAAGTTTATCAACTTTTTAATGTTTTAACCTAAGTTTATGTATTCACTAAAAGTGCTGTATTTCAGTTATTAAATAAAAATGTTACATGATACCTACATGTAATAAATTATCCTATTTTTATCTTGCACTTTGAAGTTGATTATGTAAATTCTTTGTTTTTATACAGGTAAATTAGCATTATTCACTTGTTTTAACATGACAAATGATACCAGAATTTTCGTGTTTTTATTGAAAGTAGACTATGTTAGAGTTGTACCACAGTTCAATACCAGTAATGATTTCTCTTCTTCACTAGTGTTTTGACAGTGTACGGAAGATGCATGAAGAGCTTCAGCAATGTGTGCAGGAAGTGGACAAAAATAAAAAACTGTACTTTGAAGAAGAACACATGGCTCATGGAGCAAGAGAGAAAGCTCATGATGCAGAGGAAAAGTAAAAGTAGCATTACTTATATCACATGTTGTTGTTCCTTTGTGAGATTTCATACAAGATTTGTGAGTTTGATTGTAAGCTCCATTGTGGTTTCCAGGGAGGGTGAAACCTCTTATAATATTCCAAAATGGAAAAATCTCATTACGTAAAAATAACAAAAACTTATAGACAAAAATAACTACATATTTCTATTGGAATACCATTTTTAACTGTTTTGTTGTCTTCCCATAATACTAAATCTGTTTTATTAAAATTTACAAAATGATATTTAAGATGTTAAAACTTCATTAAAATACACTTATTTTCAATATAACTGTAATTTATGATTCACTTAAAGTTTAATATGTTTATATAGCATTACGTTTTTTAAAAATTTTCCATCATTTACCAGACATTACACTTTCTTCAACAGTTTCAAAATTTACCCTTGTTCAGCGTTATTGATAAGGGGTGGATTTACCCAAAACTTCTCTACTTTAGTTGCAGTTAATGAATAAAATGATAAAATTAGACTTCGTATTTATTTTTAATTTCACAGTTTTTTTTATTCTTACATTATCATTGTTATTTATTTGTGCTTTTCTTTGACTTTCCCCGGTGAGATAGTGCTAAGTTCACGGATTTCCAATGCTAAAATCTGGGCTTTGATCCTTGCATGGAACACAGCAGATAGCCCAATGTGGTTTTGTACTAAAAGATCAACCAATCAACTTTTCTTTTACAGCACAATAATATATATAATATTTTTAATGTACACGATATTGGGGTAACTTGATTTTTTTATACCAATATATTGTTCATATGATGTATTTCATCAAGGGAGAGGGAAAGGCTCATAAGATTTGTATCTTCAGTTTTAGTCTGAATGTGCCACTCTCTTAATTTATGTGTTAGATAGAAAACAGGATTGCCATTCATCTACTCCAGTGCTCGTGCAAAAACATAAAGGACGTGAAGAGAAGAATTGAGTGAAGTAACTAAAATAAATCAAATACACAGGTCATCAGACATGTGACCTAGAGTTATAATTAGCTTTGTAAATTTTGTTAATACAAAATCATGTTTCAGCTTCTGAATCTTCACTTGCCATTAGCTAGGGATAATACATACATATCACTTGAGAATTTACAAATAAATGGCAGTGCTCGTTCAGTAAAATACAATGTTAAACAATTAAAACAAGTTAACACCAATATAACTTGTACAAATATAAACATTAAAAAATCAGATATTTTGAAAAATTATGCTTTGAAATTTGAATTCAAATCGATAGTTAAGATTATAAAGAGAATTGATTTATTAAACATGAAGTTTATTAAAGTAATATTAACAAAATGGCAAAACTTAAAAATCCATTGGTGTTTTTTGAAATTCGTTAAAGAACATAATTAATTATTAATTGTTTTATTAGATTTGTAAGATAAGAATCTTTATAGTTTGTCTTCTTCATTGTTGCTAAACCTTGTTTCTATAATGTATATTAAAACACCTTTATTACATTACTGATGAGGCTGTATTTATATAAAGTTTGATGAAACTTATAACTGGTCTAAAAGTTACAATTTAGATAGTTATTAAGGCACAAGAGCTACTTTTCCACCAGAAAGGACTGAAAAATCATTAACCCCATACATTTTCATCCCATTCTGTTAAGTGGAAGCATGGGGGTACATAGTCAACAATGAAAAATAACAGCCTGTGGGAGAATACATTTTAAGTTTTATTGTGAGATACATTTTGGTTATATATATACAGCAGTTAGCAAGCTTTCATTTAATTATCTTGTGAATTAAACTGTTCTGTATGTGAATATACATTATCTGTTGGTTAATTATGTAAATAATGGATTAAAGCTTCTCTTTTAACAAATCCATTCACAGTTTTCGTTTCACAATTTTATTTTATTAATATGCTCTGATTATCTTTTTTTTTTTCTTCACCAATTTTTACAATTCATCACTGGTGCAGAAAGCATGAGGAGATTTTCATTTCAGTTACTGGTAAAATATGATTAATATTTATAAAGTTACTTTACACTCAAGCAGGAAATTATGTTTGAAGCAATAGGATCATAAGTTGTTTTTACCAATAGTAATATTGTAAAACCTGCTGAATTACTGCAAAAACAACTTCCGTCGGCGAGGTGTTGTTGTGGCCCTATGCTCCAGTGGGAGTCTACAGGGATTATTATTGATATTGTAAAAATATGAAAAGTTTAATCCCTCTCTCTTTCATGACAGATGTGCCTGTTATACGTATGGAAGTTTCCTATTCACTTATGTTTATCCATGATTGTTGCATTACTTGTGTGAAATAATTATCTACATTCTTAACAATATTCAAAGGAATACGTGACCCAAGATATGGGTCAAGATATTAATACAAGTTGAGAATAAAAATAAAAGCAGCTTACATTTTGTGTATTTTGGCATTTTTATACATTTGTATCCATTGTAAGTCTATTAAATTTCATTTCTAATAGTTTTACAAACGTGAAACAATTTCTTAATTAAGGAAAGCATGATTTTAATGATTGTCACTTACCATACCATTTGTTTTTAATTCTTCACATAAAGTAATATAAATTGATAGGCATAACGAGCTTTAAGGCATTGAATGATTATGTGAACATGAGTTAATTATTGTTTGAAAATTTATTATTGCTCTAGTTAAGTTTGTTTCTGCAGAATTAATGTATGAATAGTTTATACTTACATGAATATATAAAGTTAAGTCATGACTTGTATTATATTAGATTATAGTTTATACTTACATGAATATATAAAGTTAAGTCATGACTTGTATTATATTAGATAAACTATAATCTAATATAATACAAGTCATGACTTAACTTTATATATTCATGTAAGTATAAACTATAATACTTACATGAATATATAAAGTTAAGTCATGACTTGTATTATATTAGATTGAAACGGAAGAAAGGAAGAATTTTTCAGTCTATTTCATCACTTCAAAGAAACAGTGCTAAAGTAAGTTTTTTTTAGTAACACATGTTTTTCCATGTTAAGCTTATGCAACCAATCAGCATGGTTAAATGCTGTAATCATTGTTTTACAATTTTTACCTTTGTGGTCAGTGAAGTATTTGGTGTTGTCGTTTCTTAATTCTAATGAAAATTTGTAAAATATATATTTGCGAATTTTCAAGAGATCGTATTAACACAATTGTTTATCCAGTTTTCATCTAGGAAGGAAGCATGTGACATTCAGGCTACTAAAGCCAGAAACGACTATATTCTTGCCCTAGTGGCAGCCAATGCACATCTGTCCAGGTTCTATGAAGTTGACTTGGCAGATGTTATACAGGTAACAACAATAAGTAACTGTTATGTTGTGTTTATTTACAGTATGGATTGTTAAATAGACAATTTTGAATTTATAATGTTGTATAACTTAAAAAACAAAATTGTAATATTTTTGTATTGCGTAACAGGCAGTGTTATATATATATAATTCACTTGACATTGTTGTATAACTTAACTGACAGTGGTGTATTTTTATAATGCATTGCTTTTATTATTTTAATAGCATTGTATATTGCATGATCAACTTTGTGTTAATTACAATGTTTTATTGTTTAGGTGAGACAATTGTATAGTTAGTTGGTGTAATTTAGTTCATAAATGTTTTTTTTTAACTCGTTAAAAATGAGCAGACGCTATAAGCATCTGGCCGAAAATCTCAATTTACCCATTGGATGATGACAGCATCCGATAACATTTTTGTCTCTTTGGATGAAATTAATCCAAACCATGTTATTATCCATTTTATATAAATAGACCAGAAATTTTATAAGGTACAGTGATAAATATTAGGACATCATGTAAATAATTCCAACAGAATCTGCAAAACATTATGGATTTAAAGAACTAACTGACAGTATCAAATTATTTAACAAACACAATGTTACATAACTAACATTACTTGATTGATGGTGTTATAATATTTAATTCATTGGTTGTGTTATTTTACTGAACATGTTACACCACTCAGCTGAAAGTGTACTGATCTTGGACTGATAATGTTTTCTTAATCATTTGAAAGTGTTATATTATTTAACTAAAAGTGTTGTTGTTATAATGTTTAACTGACAAAAATATATGACATTATTTTACTGATAACACTACATTATGTAACTGACAGAGTTATGTAAGTTTGCTGATATTGACTGAGAATGTTACACTGTCCAATTGACATACTTGTAACACTTACTCAATGTTGTTATAATATTTCACTGATAGTGTTGTAAAATATACTTGATAGAATTTTGTTTTTTGACTGACTGTTATATGTTATTTAAATGTCAGTGTCAGAAAATTGTCTTATGACACGTATGTTTAGTTATTTGTATTAGCACATGCTGTTTATATGCAGACTTTCATGCTTAGTGATTTTGATTATGTGAAATAGATCAGGTTGAACAAAAGTTTATTGCTTATTTTACCACTGGGTCTGTATTCTTTTTAATGGAGCCTTATATTACTACAGAACCTGGATTGTGACATCTATGACAAAATTAAAGAATTCATTCAGTTGGTCAGTCGAACTGAACTGCTTACTTGTGCTGCTTGGCATTCATCCTTCTCTAACTTACAGAGAGAGTCTGAGAGTGTAAGTGTTCAATTTTATTAAAAATCGTTTTTGACCAATATTATAACTCTTTAGTATAGGATATGTGGAAAATAAATATTGGTATATTTGAACTTTCACTTATGGCCTAAAGGTTAAGTACTATTATTAACCTGTTTATTTTTAAGCACAAAGCTACACAAAGGGCTATCTGTGCTATGCCCATCATGGGTATTGAAACCCAGTTTTTAGCCTATAAGTCCACAGACTTAACATTCAAATATTATAACATAGACTACAGATACCACAAGTTCATGAAAATTATTTTTTTACATGTTTATAGTATTGATTATAAGTATTGTAACTTAATAAAAAATAAATGTTTGTAAACTAATTTACAGAATAAATCATAACACTTGTGAAAACTAAAACTGTTTGTAGTTTCAGCATTTTAATTCTACAGCATAAAGTTTGAATATTGTAGTGTAGTACATAAATGTTTTTATAACTTTTTGTAGTGTAGTGCACAAAAGTTTGTAACCTTGGATTTAACTGTTTTGTTTTTAGCATCAACACTTTGATTCTGCAGTATAAGGTACTATAGTGTAGAACATTAATGTTTGTAACCTTTTATAACTTTTTGTAGTGTAGTGCACAAAAGTTTGTAAACTTGGATTTAACTGTTTTGTTTTTAGCATCAACACTTTGATTCTGTAGTATAAGGTTTATGTACTATAGTGTAGTGCACAAAAGTTTGTAAACTTGGATTTAACTGTTTTGTTTTTAGCATCAACACTTTGATTCTGTAGTATAAGGTTTATGTACTATA